TATTTTGCCAGAAGCAAAAGAGAGAAAATCCATGGTATCAAAAGCTCCACATCAAAAAGACAAAGAAGTAGGCTTAGCTTGCCCTGCATACGAAGTGAGAGAAACTCCTAAGTGAAGGAAATTCTGGGTGGAGATGGAGACTAAAATGAACAACTGAACCAGCTACCACAAATGAGAAAATGTCTACAAAGAAGGGAGGTTGCAACAGAGAAAGTCATATTGGAAGGGTCAAGTACAAGCCAAACATATATAGAGTAATGGAATAATAGGCCTCATCAAGAATGTAACTTCTGAGGAAAAAACTACCAAACTCAATGAAAAAATATGGGGCCCTAGCCAGAAGAAATGGGAAGAAATGAGAACCAAATGTTCAACCATTGTGGACTAACAAGAGGAAGTGAAAGGTGGGCAGACAACTCGCAACATGGAAAAAGTGTCATCTAGTACCAGGAACAGCATCTACCAGTGAGAGAGAAACTGCCACCATAACTGAGGAAAAACACAATTTGTTCAAGTAGGACAGACTGATATTTGACCAACAACATACCATATTCATGGGAACAATAAAAAAAGATGAGAGCAAAGACCCAGAGTGGGGTTGAAAAATCACTACAACATTTGAAACAGGTAAAGTGAAGAGTAGAAGTACAGGAAAAAAACCCTGAATCCACTAGCACACAAAGTTGGAAAGCAGAGCTCCCACAGGACCAGAGCTAAGGGGTGGACCTAGAAACAAATTAACTCTACAGCCCACGAGCTATATCAGAGAATGAAGAAGGCAAAAGTCAAAGTAAGGCAACCTGATAAAGGATACCCCAGAAACAAAGATGATAGGGTTGTGACGAAATGCCTCTAAATGAAAATTATGCATGAGAATGAACAAAGAAGGGAGTAAGATATAAAAATGATTAGAAGGAGAGAATGAAAAATAGCAGAACAGAGTCAAATAATTGAGGTTCATGCAACACAGGAGCCAGAAATTGAGAAAAAAAATTCCCCAAAAAAAACCAACAAAAGACATGCCAGTAGAATCCACACAGTGAAGGATGGAAGATGGAAGCAAAAGTAAGCATGGAAAAAACTGCAGTGAAACACTCACAAGATGGAGGCAGGCTCAGCTGAAGTAACAGAAGCAGGAGGTCATGAATATTGGATCCAAGATCAAAATGGAACCAACCATGTGGTGCACAATAGAAGTAATACCAATGACTGTCAAGAGTGTTTCCATCTGCCATTATGGTATTGGATTACTCCTGTGAAGGAGTGTCAAACACCTTGAAAGATGTCAGAAATGTTGAAACATAAATGCATAATCCAGTTAAACCAATTAATTAATGCCCCTTTTTTGTTTTGTTATCACTAAGAATAAAAATGAGTCAAGTATCACAATGATGCACAGGCCTAATGATGACCTTTAAGAACAGTGGACAAAACACACATATTGGATTACACAACAAAAATATACAATTGGATATGTCACCAAAAGTACAAAGCTGTTAAAAGAAAATCAAATTGAAGAGAATTTCAATGAAAGTTCTAAGTGATAAGTTTCAAATTTAGTACTGCTATTTCAGATAATTAAGAAAATTAAGATAAAAATAGACTACATGAAAAATAGTAAAGAAAGTTTAAAACAATATGTGCAAAAATTCCAGTAAATATTATGAAAAGACATATCTGAAGAGGAGCAGTTATGAGTCTGTATTCACATACTAATGTTCATGGAGATTCCTGAACATGAAGTATATACTGCCCTCTTGTTGGTGGAGGGCTGTAGTCTAATAGCTATAATCATAGGCTGGCACACTACACATTACATGTTAATGGCGGGAGCTTTGTTTATGCAGAAACATACATGGCAGTGCACTTGAGGTAATAGCTCTGTGTGGTGCTGAGGTGAGTAGCATTTCTGAATTCATAATTTATCTGTAAATGTTACTTGTATTTATAACAAAAAAGTAAAACTTTTACAAACAAAAATATAAGCTTGTAAACTTTCAAGTCATTTTAAAACTTACTGACTGAGACAAAAGAAGTCCAATAACCTCAGGAACATTAGGGTCTGCCAAACTTGGTCCAGGATCTTCTTCCTTAATAGGATCATCAACATCTCCTACATCTGTATCATCCATAGTTTTGTAATTTTTCTAAATCATCCCTAAAAATTAAAGTTATTTTTATCTTTTATACACACATAAAAAAATCAGTTTTTAATAAACATTTAATACATAAATACTCTGGAAAATAAGTAACATATTATACACAAAAAGCAATATACAGACACATTCATTTCTTTCCCAAAGCCCTTCTACTGCACTAAAAAATTATTTATACTTAAGCTTTCTTTTCAACAAATAAAACATACAAGTTTTGATATTTAATGAAGTAGGAGAATTCACAAAGGTTTTTTGTAAATAGTAAGATTACAATACTTATCATCAAGGGACAGTTAAAAATTACATCTTTGCCTCCATCACATTTCTTAAGACTTTTTTAATATATGTTGAATGCATATATAATAGATATTGTTACAACAGCGGAAGTCACGTGACGCTAGTAACACGTCATGAACTTCTAGAAAAATCCTGCCCCTTCTTGAAGTATTTATGTATATAAGACCGGTAAGAAGTGACGGCAACAATGTAAGGTAATTGAACTGCAGACAGAGAGAGAGAGAGAGACTGACGATTGAGTCGAGCACGTGAGTCGTTCGTTGTGAATTATAGCGTGACTGTGGAAATTAAGTGTATTGCAAAGTTGTATTCAGAAAGAATAAACCAGTTTTATTTAAAAAAGGACTTGTGTCACTAAAGTTTCATTGGAAAGAAATTATACGGGAAACAAACCAACGACCAGAGACGTAACAATATGCTCTCCTCCCTTTAGAACATTGGGTCATTTGTATTACCTTATAGTAGAATAAGAGTACATTGAATGTTATAGATGAGCTATACTCAAGCAAGCTAAGTAGTAAGATACTTAGGGAATCTCAAAATAATTTCATTAATGATAATTCAAACTAAACTTGCATTATGGTAAGGGAGTTTATTAAATTGGGAATAAGCAAATGAACAGGATAACAAGGAGAATGGAAAACAAATTTAAGGCATAAGTTAAATAACAGTTTTATAGATAAGTATCAGTCTTAAAGATAAACATAGTAGATTCAAGAATAAGCTTAGTTATTATTTTAATATTAGGTATATTGCAAACAAAAATGATGACCTCACGGCTCAAGTTAAAATGGAAGTATACATATAATATCTATAATGAGAATTACTGAAACTTCATTAGGTATGGAGAACATTAATAACAGGAATTACTTTAAAATTCCACATTATTTTATATGCCAGATATTTTAAAAGATGGTTTAATTGTTAAATGTTTCTGTAATCTAACATACCATATGGACAACATATGCTATGTTCTTAAACACCCACCCCTAAGGAAAAGCAAAAATTAATTTTAAACCCACCATTTATTGTTCAAGAATTCATCAATTCTCTTCTCAAATTTGTGTAATGTTCTGACCTCCAATACTGCCAATGGCAGTTCATTCCATAAAATAATCATGGTTAGAAAAATAAAACTGCCTTAACTGGATCATGTATTTTTTTTTTTTCTAAATCTTAAATCTTTGTCTTTTTGTCATCAGGATACAACACAAAAACTTCAGAAGTCGTTATCCTACTGATCCCCAAATAATTTTGTAAACTTCATTAACATCACCTCTTAGTATTCTTTCCCGGGAAATATTAAGAGATCTTATTAACTCCTTAGTGGTAAGTTTAAAGACTGAGAGATTAAAAATACACAAAACACCAAAACCAGACAATATTTGTCTCTGGATTTAAGTGGATGTTAAAGATCAGGTATAAGTGCTCTCTCTTTTTAATTTTTTGGTATGTCAACAAGCAGTGTTTGAAGATTGTAGAGATGCTAATGTTACTCCTAGTTCTGAAATGGGGTGATGAGTCACCCTAGAAATCATAGGTCAACTAGTCTTACTTCTGTAATGGGAATAACTTTAAAAGTCTAATAAATAAAGTTTTTTCAAAATCATTAAGTCTAAAACAAAGGCACCTGGAAACAGTGAAATTAAAAAGTAAAGCTATAAATGAAGGCTTGAGCCAGCCCCTTCCACTAGTATGAGCCATAGCACACAAACCAGTCTTGTGATACATAGTATTAAACACTAATTTCATTTGGCATTGGCTTCATGTATTTTTGTACTGGTGTCCTTACTCAGCTGAGCCCTCACCTGCAGCATAAAGATGGTAAAATTGAAATGGATGCTAAATTCAAATCATTCTTAAGACTACTTATCCATTTAAGCTCATTCTACCTGAATTCCTCTACCAAATTTCAATGAAATTGGTTCATCCAGTTTCTCACAATAAGTTATGGCACCAGACAGACAAATAGACAACTCTGTTTTATATCTGTATCTACACATGTATATAGCAGATAAATAGAAGAGTCAGAATGTATTCACTAAACAGAAATATTGTCTTATTTATCTCTTAACTGTTTTCAAGGGTGTTATCTGGATCATTAAAAGGGTATGGACTTGGTATATTTAGATTTCCAAAATGTTTGTGATAAGGTGCCATACTGCAATTATCTAAGAAAATCATATCAGAAAGGGCTAGAGAAAGACTAGTTAACTTAACTCTAGTGTAGCTAGGTGAGAGAAAGACTAGTTAACTTAACTCTAGGGTAGCTAGGTGAGAAAAAGACTAGTTAACTTAACTCTAGGGTAGCTAGGTGAGAGAAAGACTAGTTAACTTAACTCTAGGGTAGCTAGGTGAGAGAAAGACAAGTTAACTTAACTCTAGGGTAGCTAGGTGAGAGAAAGACTAGTTAACTTAACTCTAGGGTAGCTAGGTGAGAGAAAGACTAGTTAACTTAACTCTAGGGTAGCTAGGTGAGAGAAAGACTAGTTAACTCTAGGGTAGCTAGGTGAGAAAAAGACTAGTTAACTTAACTCTAGGGTAGCTAGATGAGAGAAAGACTAGTTAACTTAACTCTAGGGTAGCTAGGTGAGAGAAAGCAAAAAGTTATTGATGGAACCTGTCAAACTGGACATTTGTTACTAGTGGTATGCTACCAGGGTCAATCCTTTGGTCTTTGTTTTTTTTTATTATTTACATTAATGATATTGATAAATGCATAATTAGTAAACTCTAATAACAAGATTAAGCTATTGGATATCTCTTAATTGCATTGAGTATGCTTGGCACGGTCCTACAGAATGACTTGGATCAATTTGCAAGTTGGCAAATAATTGACAAATGGCTTTTCATCATACTATTAAGGGTAAGGTAATGCATTTGGGTTATCATAATTTGGATCACACAGTTAATATATATGGGAATCCATTCAATAAAATGACTGATGAAAAGAAACTTGTAACAGTGCTATGTTGCAAACAGAATTTTAGTACATATTTACACACATGTTGATTGCAAGACAAACTACATAACTTTTTTTTTATATAAATCATTAGTGAGTCCTCACTTGTAATATTGTGTGTAGTTTTGGTCTCCTTATCTAAGAAAGGCTACTTACTGGAAAATGTTCAGAGGAGGGTTACTAGGATGATTTTAATGACAGAAAGATTATCTTATGGGATCAGGGTAAGAGGTGATCTTCCTGAAATTTACAAGAATGTCCAGGGTGACTGACATGATAAAAATCTTTATAACTTTGAGGTGTATTCTGGAGACAAGAGAATAAACATTCCATATTTTAATAACATAAAAATGTATCATCTTGTCCTAATGTAGTAAAAAAAACAACTAAAAAAATCACTAAACATGGTAAGCTCCAATTAAGGCATCTTTTTCTAAGAGAATGATTAGCTTATGGAATGAGTTGCCAAAAGGCTGCCATATTATGAGAATTTAAGAGGTGAACATATAATTTCTAAAAAATAAAATACAGATATAATATGTTTACTTTTTCTTAGGGCACAATCTTGAAGGACCAGATGGTTCCTTGTTGTCCATAATTGTATGCTCCAAAAAGTATATTTCATGTATAATATTTTCTTAGAATCAAACCATTCTGTTTTTCAATAGTTTCTTTAAAACTCATATCTAAAGTTTTGTTCACAGAGTCAAGAAACAAGTTTTTAGAAACATTATAAAAACATGGGGGAAAAAAACTATGTTATCAATTACTCTAACATGGAAATACAAATAATCTCACTACCAGTACAAAATTTCTCATGTTAAGCATAAGATACATTTTGACCACTTAGAAAAGGATTACAACTATAATTGACAAGCATTAGAAAAAAATGTATCGCTAAATAAAAAAAACTATGTAGGGCTGGCTACTGAACTTGTAAAAAGGAACCAAACAAGATAGGGATGGAAGTGAACATATCACTTGATCCGGCTAATAATTACATAGCAGACTAAGCTGTCTTGACTTTACATGGAGAATAAAATCCCTACATTTCGTCTATCAAAAGCTTGGTGTTTGAATAGAATCTCAGCTTTTATCATTACATCTTTCCTTTAGTTAACCTTAGAATACTACTTTTATGACTATTTTACAATAGAGTAACATTTTATGATTGAAAATTCTGGTTCTATTTGTTTTGCCAGTAATGTAATTTTTTTTCTCCTTCACTTCATAGATAGGGGTTGGTTCCCTAAAGACATAGATTGTATCATGTTCAAAGCATTGAGTATTCTACATGTTATTCATCTATTATTGGCTGGTTATTCCTGTTTCACCCTGTAGTTTTTAAAGGAACACCAGATTTCTGTAAGAAAGCTAACTTTAAAGTTAATAATACTTTTTTACACTAGAATTATGATTTTTTTTCAAGTTTGCATAGAATAATAATAAAATAAGTAGTCAAAGATCATGAAGACTGTTTTGCTCTATCAAATGATGATAAAATTATAGTTACTGCAAGAATTAGATAAGCACTAGGTCTGTTGAAGAAAGATGATGATGAATGAGAACAAGAAATCTGTTTAGTCTATCCATCAGTTTTCGACTTTGGGATGCTCTAGATAGATAAAAAGCAGCATATATAATGGATATAGAGCAACTATGCCAAATAGCTCTTCATATCTAGCCTCTGATCCAAGTGCATTTTGTATTGCTTTAATAAGGGAATCCATGCCACCCCTACATAGTGCTAGTGCACTCTCTGATAAACTGCAAAGAAAAGAAAAAAGCCTTTTCTATAACTATAAATCATAACTATTACACAAGTACAAGATAAGTCATCACTCTTACTCTTAGTGGTGAATTTTTAACTACCTTGTTCACATGCAGTCCCAAAATATTTATTTATAAACCTAGTATACAAAGGTTATCACTCTTTTCAGCAAACTGTTTTATTTCATATAATTAACACTGTAGTGTATCACACTGTCATGGTATGACTGTTACATCTAACTTTCTACTTGAACTTATGACTGTTGGCAGTAACTAATATGTAAGAAGTATATTATTTGTACTTCTAAGTTTTAGTAATAATAATAATTCTAGCATAGTATTACTACTAGTAGTGCTAGTACTATTAGTAATACAATTACTACTTGCCACTAACGAAATTTAGTAATATTACTATTAGGAGTCCAAGATATAGGTTTCATTATTACCATTTTAATACTAACAAAAGGGGCAGAATTAGTATAACTGCACTACTACTACTATATTATTGTGTTAATACAATAAAAATAATAATATTTATTACTAAATATTAGTACAGTAGTAGTAGTACTACCACAAAGCAAAATTTAACCGGGACATTGATTCTATTTCTGCCCACAGGTATCGGTTTCGCACAAAATGGCGTCTTGAGAACTGGCATGATATCAACTTTTGTTTTAAACGCGACATCTCTCAATGTTTATTAAAATATAAAAACAGGCGTGTTGAGTAAATTAATATACATTTAGTCTGAGCATCAGACACACTCAACCTTCTCTGTATCACTCAATACAATCGTGTCTGATGAAGTAAAGAATGTTGGGAAAATTTTACAATGAACACTGGGAACTTACCTCGACCACGATGCAAAGCGAAACAAAATGGCCTTTAGAGATTCGATCTATAGAGTGGGAAGTACACGATCGGATGAGCCAGTGCCGTGAATGACGAATACGTGATACGTATGCTTCTGTTTGGGGATAACAGTGCAGGATTGAACAAAAACTAGAAAAGTGGGGATTCTAAATCTTGATGATTGTGCAAAAAAGCCATATTGGTCAACATCTGAAATAGTACGCTTAATTTATAATATTTTATACAAATTTAAATAACATGAGGAAATCTTTGTGAAAAAAAAAAGTATACAAAAGTTGATTAAACAACTCTCATTGGAACAATTTGTTTGACTTATTTTTGTTGCTCTAATTGGCCATTTTTTTCTTAACTTGCACTTATTATGAAATTAATATATTTTATTTTGCAGCAATCAACATGCAAGAGAGCAGTTTTTTTTATACTTTGCATTTTGTTAGCAACTTTTATTATACGTCAATGAGAAAAATAAATAAAGAAATAAGCCTAACGCCATAGCATTCAGGTTTATAAATAACAACCAATTCAACGTTTGTAAGAGGTGAAAGTTAACACAAGTATTCATCTAGAACTGAAACTAGAAGATATGCGATTGATAATGTTAGTAATTATTAATAATGACTAAAACTAGTTAAACGTGTAATATCCTAATATAATTATCAAACTCACTAATCTCGCCAGCTTCAGTATCATGCATAATATTATTAGACAAACTCAAGTTACAGTAAACTTTTATTTATTTGTTTAGATTAACATATTTATCCAATTGAGAGAAATAATAACACTATAATTGTAGCAATTACTTGCATTTACAATTAGGATACTTTGATTTTACAGTATTAGTAAAATAAATTTTTTAAGGTGGATTTGGATGATAGCATTTCAAAATATCTACTTCCAATTAATATTTCACTAAAGTTTATGGGGATCCATTTCTCTTTTGTTTTTATCGCAAATTTAATTCCCTATTATTTTATAGATAAGAAAATACGGCTTGTTTCAAGTAATTAACTTCAAAGGATATAACTTAGAGTTTTTCGGTAGATCAAAGTTAAGAGTACCGAATTACAAAACTAAAATCCGAGGTTCATTTCCCCGCGGTGAACAGAGCGTAGATAGGCTTTGCACTAAGAAAAACATAAACAACTTTGCAGCCTTGAAATTGGAGAAATGTAAAATACAGTAAGTCATTAACAATTGTTTTTAGCTGAATTTAATTTCCACCTTCCCAGTTCATTTGTTAAAGATCGAAAGTTTTGAAGACAAATTATAACATTTAATTATTTTACTCTATTTTATTTAAGACTAATGTTACCGACATTGAACATTGACTGATTTTCATACATTTATAAATAGCGTTACGTCTCCGTTTGTTAATTAACTTTCCGTAACTTCGTTCCGACGAAACTTTAGCGACACAAGTCCTTACTTAATAAAACTGGTTTATTCTTTCTGAATATAACTTTACCGATACACTTATTTTCAACAGTCGCGCTAAAACAAACGCTATAACGAACGTCAACTTCAATAATACTTTCTCACTGCAGATCAATTACTCACTACCTACACACATTGTTCCGTCACGTTGTGAGCGTCTTATTTATATACCAGACAAACATATATCTAGTAAATGCTAGGGCATTCACGAAGAAACAAGATACTTCTAGAAAGCAGGTGGCATGACAATAGTCACGTGATCTCGCTGACGCAACACTGCCCCTCCTTAGTATTGTTCGTCCCGAACAATAGCTACATACAATTAACCAATAACAATTAACAATAACCTAATTAAATGCACAGAATTACAATCACAAAATTACAATTCAACAAAGTCTCTCAATTTTACGGGACGTATCTTCTTCCGTACTGGTCTCCGTCTCGTTGGCTTCTGCTTCATGTGGGGTTCATCTGCTTCATCAGTAAATGTCCTATCATTGGTAACAGTCACATCAGTGGTAGTAACTTCATCAAAAGCTTCATCGTTTCCCTTCTCAAAACTGAGCAGAGTTTCTTCTTCGACGGTGGCTTCTTCATGCGGCACATCTTCAGCAGCATCATTTATTCTGTTGTGTAGAAGTTTCCAGCATTGATCTCTCTT